GACGTACACGCACACACGCGCACGCGTATCGCATACGCGATGTATGTATTATTATTTACACTGTCTCGAAGCGAGAGAAAAAAAGCTCCGGGGAATCTTCCAAAAGCGACGAGAAAATGCAGTATTATGACTCATCGTGTGCAATTCCGGTTTGTTTGTTGTTTAGTACGTGCGGCTACATATAGCTCGCGATAGAGTTCGACAACATTTGTTTTGCAATAAACACGCGTATGTACTCGAAGCGACGAGTCGTCGCGCGGGCGCTTATAATATATAATACGCGGCGATGCGGATTCAGCAATGAAGCTCTCCTCCAGCTGATAAAGCTCATAAGCGCGTTATTTAATTTTCCGTATTGCGCGAGCAAATCTCAGTTTTTATAATACTCTAACGTACTACCTGATTGTAACGTTACTTTTCCGTAAATTTTTCCTCTTTTTCCTTCGAAGCGAAAATAACGATTTATCCATTCATTATAATTTCGATACAGAGGTACGAGGTAAATTTTTCAGAGAAAATATATTATGTGGGCAGCTGAAAATGAGAATTATATGCGTAGAACCAAGCTTCTGCGGGTATGAAATTACTCTCAAAGGAGTATGCTCGCGCGCAAAAGCTTCGTTATAATGCTAATTCTCCCTTTTTTCTTGGTCCGGACGGTCGAAACAGGGCAGGAGGAGCTTGCAAGTTCAAATGTCGAGTTTTTTTTTAAGTAGTTGCCTATTATATCGCAGAAAGTTTATAACTTTGTAAAAATGCTCAACATTAATATTGACCTAATGACTAAAAAATTGCTATTAAAAATGTTTTAAAATAAACTAACATTTAATCGTTTGAACAAATTTGGACCAGTTTTAAACCACATTAAATACAATAGTACCACAAGCTTTCACCACTAGATGGCGAGTACCTTTACCAATAAATCTGCAAGTACGAAATTAAACATTATTGTATAAGTCAGAGAGTTTTGACAAAAAATTATATTGATCGATATAGTATGTTGCCTCATTGCGACGCAATTAGACTCATTTCTAAATACAATTTATTATGTAATGTTAATGATACTGCTGTAATATGTTTAAATGACAATTGACGCGCGAATTCCATGTAGTCAAAAATGGTTATTAGAAAAACGCGGAACGTTATATGACCTTAAGGCGTAAGAAAAAAAGTTACTTTTTTGGTCAATATATGTCCACTTTTGAAGGTCCTTTGATGGCCCAAAAAATTTTTCATTAGACAAAAACTAGTCATAAAATGTTAAATATGTCTACCAGGGTATATTGTTTTTTTGTTTTTAACTCGTCGGTTAACAATTATGTGGATTACTTTAAGGCAAGTGTCTTGAGCCATTGTACACATCACAATGCGTAATTATGATTAAAAGTAAAATCAAACGAAAAACTCACTCACGTTTAGCAAGCCAGAAAGCCTCGAAGCGGCGAAACTCGAACAGCGGTGACGGAGAATTTGCTGTTCGCACTGAAAAACACTGTCACAAGCAGCCTCGACCAAGCGTGTAACATCAACAACGACAACATCGACGAGGAAATTTAATGAAAAGCCGAAAATTGCGATTCAACGACTCGGCACAGTGATCGGCCGAGATCAGCAGCAGTTACAACGAGCAAAGCCAGTGCATCGATATCCGTGGGTACAATGATGCACGCGCGCGACTCGTGCGGACCCGATACCCGAAACAGCTCCTCGATTATTACATACGTATACGAATCGAGTGCGAGCTATCGCGAGGATGGAGTGCTGCTTGGTGTATAACGCCGGAGGCAAGAGAGCAGCTGTGCTCGACTGCACAATACGACGACGACGACGACGACGACGACGACGAAAAAGAGCCTAGAGACACGAGCAGAGTCGCGAACTATTAGCCGCAGAACCGACGTGCATAGTTATATAGATGTCTAATTGTGCAGTACGACTTTGTGCCAAACATTAGACGTCGTGCCTGCATGCGTGTGTGTGTTTTGCCCTCCATTATGATTCTTCATAGAGCACTGCGTGCATATTACTCGTACACACACACACAGACACAGATGCGCGTATACGTAAATGCACATGCGATGGTAGCCTTGGCCGACCTTTTGCTCGGCGAACGTATGTCTGTGTGTAGCTGCAGTTTGCCGGAAATGCCGAGCGCGTCTTCCGGGTGATGCTGCTGCAGTGCCCGATGCTTACGCCTATATCTGCGAATCGCGATAGAGAGAGATCGCGTCTTAGCTTCAGCAGTAGCAGCAGTAGCCAGAAAAATACCGTCTGAGTGATTGTAATTGCGATAGACGGCGAGCACGAGTATTGGGTCTGGTCTGCACACGTATCAAGTCTTTTTCTTTTGTGGACGATTTCGATGTTATAGCGGGTATCTTTTGTCTTTTCGTTACTGGGACACGGAACGCACACACATGCGGGTATACGCGCATATTCAGAAATTCGTGCTCATAATACCTCGTTTAGAGTAGCGATGGATCTGCCTTTGACCAAAGTATCATTTCGAGTCGCGAGTGCATGCTGTAATCAGGCAGCAGGCAGTTTTACTTCGGGCAGTTTCCAGAGAGAGAGAGAGAGAGAGAGAGTCGAAGGTCAATGCTGCAGTAATTACTCGCGAAGCAGTACAGCTCTCGCATCTCGAATCGTAATAAATTACTTATATAGACTTGAAATATATTATTATTATTATTATTATTATTATAGACGCGGAAGACGACGCCAATAGTTTAATACAAAGTTATATGGCCTCCTTTAAAGCGCGAGTTGAGTAAAGCGACACAAAAGAGCCCCTCTGTAGCGCACTCGTACAAATGACTCAAAGTAATTGCCATTTTCTCCGGGCAGTGCTGGGCGCTGAAGTGCTACCGCTGCTGCTACATTGGATAATTTTATTTTCTCCGCGATTCGCGCCTGCACTAGGCTATATAGGTATGTGTGTAGTGCAACGCGCGACCCTCTTACGCGAGATATGAATATTCAAATGCACCCGCAGGAGTATTTTATAAAACGTTGCGCGCGCGCTTGAGCAAGCGAGCGAGAATAAAAAAAAAGCAGCCGAGTTACGTCGCGAGTATATTATATCCTTGCCTAGCTGAGAACCAGTAATGCTAGATAGGCAAGAGATGGCATTGAAAAACAAACATTATATACCAATCGAGAATTTTTTGACTACTTGCGGATTTGTGATACTCCATCTGTTGACAAAATCTAAAAGTTCACAATGAAATATGACATTTTCGAATACAATAAATCTTCTATACAAGTTCTGGAATGTTATTCTTTACATTTCCTTAAAAAAATAAAACTCATTTTTTAAATCAATAAGCAGCTGCATACAAATGTGACTTCAACTGAAAATTCAACAAAATTCCAACAAATAAAGCTGCATATAATTTTTGGAAAAATTCATTTACATTGCAAACCAAGTGCACGATCGTATATATACGCATTCTTTTATGCTGCGAGGGTGGTAACGGGTGGTGTCTACAAGTGTGACGCGCATCCCGAATTTTCGGCACGCGTACACGTGTGCCCGTGTATACATAGGTGTGTGTGTGTGTGTGTGCGAGAGAAGACCGCGCTGCAGTCTCGGCAATTATTCTGCGCTCTTTGATCGATCGCTGGATACAGGTATATAACGTATATATATAAAAACTCACCGCTCGATATAGTGTGCTGCATAGAAGAGCTGCTTACCAACGGACCGCTCGATCTGACAAAAAATTTTGATTAACATCGTTAGAGGGTAAAGAGAGGCGCCCGCTCGATCGCGCGAGCGCACGGGCACTTAATTTCGCTAGACTTTGACTTTATTATCGAATGAAAGCTTCGTATTAGAGATTTTTTTCTCTCTTTTTTTTGCAAACATCATTAGAGCTCGATAATAAGATTAATGAAACGCATTCGTTCGACCGGAGTTGTCGATCTCTATTGAAAATAGGTTATAGCGCATCGAGTCGACGCTTGTAGCGATCGAAACACAATCGCAAGACTGCAGCAAAATAGGGTAAAAAATCGTACAGTAAATAATGATCTACAACATAATTAATATTATAAAATAAGATTCTCGGATGCAGATCGGCACAGCTCAGAAAAAGTAATCGATCGTTGTGACGAGAACAAAAGAGTTAGGAGACTGCATTACAGGCTGAGAAAGCATATTACGGTTATCTTCGAAACTATCATCGTCATCTTCCTTGTCGTCTACGCAAGTATATATATATAATCAAAAGCGCGCAAGGGCCAGTGCGCTCCTCCATCTCTCGCGTGTCTTATACTTGCACGATACGCGCGCGCAAAATTCTGCATTCACACGCATACATATTTCATGTACACATGACAGACTGACACTCGTGCAAGAGACACGCATACATACATTCGCTATACACGGACGCACGTTACGTACACGTGTGAATGTGTTATCGTCATCGCGTACATATATCTATATAAGCGCCCTTTTGATCTGGAGCGCCTCGCGCGTGTTTCAGAAAAGGAGGGTGAGAATGAGAGACGAGGGTAGTAGTGGTATATACGATGCACACACTGTGCTGCTGCTGCTGCTGCTGCTGTCGAGGAGCACACACAGGCGCCTAGAGAGAAGGTGGAGGAGGAGGAGGAGTAGGAGAAGGTTGAAGGGGTTGAGAGAGTGAGCGAGCGAGCGAGAGCAAGAGGGAGTGCGAGCGAGAGAGAGGAATGTAAGGTCGAAGGCAGGCAGGCAGCGTGCGCGCGAGAATTTGCTACTATACTACACTACCACCACCTCGCGCACCAAAAAGAGGGTGGATGGGTTGCTGCTGCTTGCCACTTGGAGAGAGAGAGAGAGAGAGAGAGAGAGAGAGAGTGAGTTACAAATACGTATATAGCACGGCTCATATCTGAGCGTGTCTGCGGAAGCTCGGCTGCAGGCAGCGGTTCAGCATCGTCGTGTGTATATTATATAGAGGCCGACCGAGCGAGCGACCGACGCGCGCGCGGGCACGAGGCAGGCGGGCGAGCGAACGCGCGCGCTATATAGAGAATGCTCAGCTTGGGAAAATTCGTCAGTCAACCCCGAGCGCGCGCGAATAATCGAGCTCTCGCCGCGGCCGCCGCTGCTCCCCGTCTCGCTCGTACTTATATAGCTAAGTAACATCGCGAAAATCTATCTCGATCTATATATGTAATCGTGGCAAACTCTCGGGCCAGTGCATCCAGTACTATAGATCCACGTATATTGTATAAAATAGAAAAAGAGCTAGAGCGACCAGTGAGCGGCACCACCACCACCGCTGACGTATACGGCACACAGCTGGTTTTGTAAAAGTCGCTTATTGTATCGCGGGTATATGCCTGCTGCAGCGAGCGCGTGTCACGTGCTTCGCTAGCCGAGCTTCGCAGCGCGACTCGAGTGCTAGATTTTCTTATTTTTTCCCCTTTTTTCTTTTTCTTTTATGTTGTTTACGTTTCAAGCTGTCGTCTTCGAGTCATAATAGACACAAGAATATCGAGGATTTTTTTTTTCATTCACGTGCGCGTCGACGAGGTATTATAAGTGAAAGTGAGACTCGCGGAAAGGCACGATAGTTTCGAAAAGGTGAGTTTTGGTTTATTGTTTTTCATTTTCTTACGTAGAGCTAAAAAAATTTGAGGAATAACATCGCGAGATACGACAGGAAAATACAATACTTCGTCGATAACCGTCCGCGCACGCAACGAGTTGAGATTTATTAAAAAAAAAGGAAAAAAAAGAGAAATTCCCTCGTCCGACCTTCTCACGAGCCATTCCACTTGGTTTGGCCGGGCGTGCGCGCGTACATCTCCCTCGTGATTTGCAATGCAAAATTGTAGCCCTTTTTTCGGTCTAAAAGGAGGAAAAAAATCTGCAGAAACGAATGAATAGAGACGTGGACTCGGAGCGCGTACGTAAGGTCCACTCTTTATATTCGCGCACGTATATGCTTCTTTTTTTTTTTATTTTTAAACCCTCTATTTTTTTTCAAAAGAACTCCTTGCTCCGCAACTATCGGCCACAGCAGCAGCTAGCCTAGCTAGCTCTTGTCGACAAATCCATTGTTAAACTTCCTCCACGTGGACTCACTCGGCTTAAACTTACTATACATAATCTACGTGCTTTGCATGCACATTGCAAGTCTCTCTCGTTTTGGTGCATCTAATGGACGAAAATAAAAAAAAAACAAAAGGAATTAGGACGACTGAGATGACCGGTTGACTCGCTCGCGTATTATTTTTACGCGGATAAGTTTTTTCATTGCGACGTATTGTGCGAGTGTTTTCAATTATCCTCAGATAAGAGAGGGAGGTTGAGTTGACAAGTCGAAATTGAAAGAGATTTCACGTACATAATAATAAACTCCGCTTACGGTTCAGCCGCGTATAACAGAATGTGTATTATTTTCTCTCCGACTTATCAGCGTTGAAATTTGTCACGGCACGGCACACAGTGCAAGAGAGCAGCAATATGCTGCAAGCAGCAGCAGATATGACAAATGAAACGTCTCAGCGACTTAAACTCCGGGAGTTATACGACGCGTGATTTAATACCAAAATTTCACTTGCCTGGTAGTAGGGTCTCTCGGTGATGTACAACAGCAGCACTGTCATTAAGTTCCGCGTTATATTCAAAGCACAATTCGGGCTCTGCACCGATGTCGCTGAATTACGTCTCGACGCGCGGCCTTGAACAAAATAAGAAAAAATAAAAGAAAACACAAAAAAAATAGCTGCAAAGTTATCCGTCGCGATCTCATTTAAATGTAAATAAGCCGCCGCCACGCGCTTCTCTACTTTTTTCCTGCATCGTCCTGCAAAAACCGCAGCAGCAATAGCGGCCGCGACGGCGGCAGCAGCGGCTTCATTATAATTCTCGGTTGGCTCTTGATACCGAGTGTACATCGCGATTCGATTTATAACATGTCATCAGAAAATTAGGGCTCACTCGTCCACCTATCAGAATGAGTTGGCGACGCGTACATGAAATACATTTTTTCATACGTACTACGTGATAAACTCGCTCGATTTCTGACGTCGAAGATGCGAACGAGAATTGACTTTCTACGAGGGAGGGTGAGAGTCGCAGGGGAAGCTATATAAGTTGTAATGTAAATATTTTGAATACACTATCGATTCTATCGTCGGAGAGAGAGAGAAATGCAGTCGATGTATATACGCCATAAATCCCCTCGAAGACGGAATCGGAATAATTCACTCTGCGGCGGCGACGACGACGACGACGACGAAATAGTCGGGAGTTATTGTGTATACAGGATATATATACCCTCAGTTCCGACAAACGTTCGCGCTATGCGCGTGTAATATGCGCTTCGCGCATACATGCATGCATGTAGTATACGCGCGTGCTGTAGTGCAGGGCTATATACACGAACAGCGAGCTGAGGTGTGTATAGGACATTTAATAAGATTTCATATAGCAGCCGTTGTATAGTACTGTGTGCAACACATGCGAGAGAGAGAGAGAGAGAGAGAGAGATAATAGAAGCGATGCGCGCACGTACGAAGACAGTATTATACATGTACGAGACATATAAGTCGTAATATATATTTACTAGCGTCGATTTCATCGGTCGACGGCATCATTGCTTGCGATTTATAATACGATGATTGTTGTATTGAAAATAAAAATATTGGGCATGATCGATCGACGAGCACCTATATATCTGGGAGAGCATTCATATCGCGCGTTATGTCAACCGTACACGTCTAATGAGAGAATATGTACTTGTAATAAAACTTGATGTCTGACATAATCGCTCGTTGTCGCGACGATAAAATTTCCATAGGCAACGTATACACTATGCAACGCGTATACGGCGTACTTCGATACGCAAACGTACACAAGAATATAATACACAGGAATGCTGTGAATTTTTAGTTTGAACTTGACGAGCTGGAAATTGAAGATTTTTTTTTATCCGCGCTGTGTAAGCGATGATAAAAATATACGACCCTCTCTCCTTTCTTCTCGCTCTCTCGCTAAGATCTGTGTCTCTTCTCTACTCTGATAAAAGCGTCGGATTGGATTGTTTCTTGGGCAGAGAGAAAAAAATAAAAAAGGGATAAGAGACGCGTGCGCTTGGCTAGGCGTAAAGCTTGATTTTCTTTTTTTACATCGTTAAGAAAAATCTCGCGCCCTTACACAGCTGCAGCTACACCCTCCCCCATCCACGTATACATTCTTCTCGAAGGCCGGGGTGTATATAATTTGATAAAATACAATTTCGCAACAAGTACGTCAGGACAAATCGCGCGATCGTGCGATGCGGGACCAAGTGGATATACGTACTTTTCCTTTCTTTTCTCTTGGGCGTATTATGTGAAATTGAAAAATAGCTCGAGTTTGCGGGCACACATACACGAAGCTCTCGAGTAGTGGCTGCGCAGCACGTTGTCGGAATATTTCATGAAAATGCCATTGATACAATTTTGTGGCATTAACTTCAATGATCGGATAAGGAATAAGTGTACCTTTTTCAAAAATGATGCTCTAAAATTTTCTTTCTTCTGGTCAGTGCTACTGGTATATAGAATTGAATTAAAATCCTAAAACAAGAGTATCGTGTAAAACCTTCTTGTGCTACATCTTTCTGCACTTTATTTCTTGATCTTTTATTGAAATCTTTTATATAGTCTCTATAAATATTGAAAAAGAAGACAAAAAAAGATGCGGTATAAAGTATGTACACACTTAGTCGTGCGGTAGAACAAAAGTTTGCAATGCTATAAATATTTCGCATTTTATAGAAAAAAAAGTAAACTTTTTCGTTCTACGATATAGTTACGTTTAAAACAGTAATAATGCACCGATGCATTTGCCAACCTAATCGAGAGATGCAAAAATTCCTTTTTCTCGAAAAGCACAAGCGCGCCATTAATTGAGCCACTAATCAGGACGTCGGCAAAATAGAAAGGCCAGAGAGAAAATTATTTGTCGAAAAAACGCGAGAGGGAAAGAAAGAGAGAAAGAAAGGGGGGAAAAATCAATGCCTCCAAGAGTCGGTGGTGAGCAAGCAAAATTTTAATATTTATCATAATTAGAAAAGTAGGATGAATTTGCGAGTTTTACTCTTCACCCAATCGCGATGATTGCTGTCGAAAAAAAAAAAAAAAATAAAGCCTCATACTAGTCGACACGGTGAAATATAATATATATTAAGTGCGGACGCGCGTCCAAAGTGAAAATGTACTCGGCGCTCGTACGTACGCTTGCTGGCCGATGGTAATAATGCGATTTTCTCCCAAAGTAAAGTGTATAGAGTGATGAAATTTTCATTAAACGTATCGCACAATGACTAAAGATAATTGAATCTAGTTCGCAAGCGCAGTAGCCGTCGAGAGATAGAGAGAGATAGAGAGAGATTTCATTTATATGGGAGACAGCTCAGGGTTTTAGTATGTATAAGCTCTCTCTCTCTCTCTCTCTCTGCAGCCCTTAAATACGCTGGGTTTGGCCGCAGCAGCGGCTACGCCGTAACATGAAAGTTGATGGTTACCGCGAAGAATTCTATCACATGCAAATGTACATAAAATACAAATCCATCGTGTGCGCGGTCACACATTGGCCAAATTGAATTTTCATGAACTTTGCTTTCATCTCGTCCACCATTCTCGTCTTCTATTTGCTGGCTGCGTCGCTGCAGTGCAGTTTCCCGATTATACGAAGGTAATATATACGCCGAGTGAAAATCGCAACTGCACCTCTATATGTACCATGATATACAACTTCTCTCCGTCGGAAGAAGAAGAGAAAAAAGAAATATGTACGCGATATATAGACTTTCCAGTCGCTTGCTCGCGTCTGCTGCTGCAGCACCGACATACGTGTATATATCTAACGAGTGTCAAGCCTGTGTGCTACTGCAGTGCACTTTGTGTCGTTGCAGCAGCAGCAGCAGCAGCAGCAGCAGCAGCTCGGGGAACGAGAAAATAATTGACGCGAACGCGCGGGCACTTCGAGTACGGTCTTTTAATTGGGCGCCCGAGCTATATACTGCGCTGCAGAGAGCGCGAAGCTACTACTACTACTACTACCACTACTGCATGAGCGATATATGTATAGATATATATCTAGGCACGCAGCAGCAGTAGCAGCTAGTGCGGCACGATCCACCGCGCGCTGAATGTATAAGCAGCTTTAGAGGCGAAGTGGTAGCGGTGGCCGTCCGCGCGCCGTAATTGTCGTTAATAAATGTCCCGCTAGCGTTTCGCTTATTTATAAACATTTTTCGGTGAGCGCGTGTGTGTGCGAATTTCGACGCGCTCGTTGATGGTCGGTCCGAATCCATACACGCGCGCGCGATATTACAACTCGAAGATATATTATTATTGTAGCGCGCGAGCATAAACTCTCCGCGAGCACGCATCGTCTGTAAATAAATCTGCCAAAAATTTACGCTCGTTCTCTCTGCCGCCGAGCCGGAAAAGTTACAGTTTTTATCTGATTGTGCCTTGTTTTTTATGCACCCGTGTGTACATGGATCATTGTCGTGGACAAAATTCACGTTTACGTACACTGGCTATATGACATATAGATATGACGCGCGCGCGCGCGCATACGCA